AATACTCTCTACTACTAATACTACTACCTAGAAGTATAAAATACCTAGTAATCTTATTAAAGTAAGGTTCTAATTAACTCTAATTTAATTAAAGATTATATAGTATCTTAATTTATTACTAACTTATATTATTAAGTTACTTAATTAGCTTAAGAAAGGTAATAAGCTAATAGTGTATTAGCTAGTACTTATAGAGTCTAAAGTTACCTAGCTTTAAGTAGCTAATATATAGAAAAAGAAGCGTAATTTACGTAAAAAAAAGTAGATTTAGAAAGAGAATACTTTTATAATTAAAGCTAGCTTATAGCTAGTTGCTTAAAGAAAGACTATAAATTAGAATAAAAGTAAGAAGTAGCGTAAAGAAATAGTAGTATATAATAGCTAGCTAGCTTAGTAACGCTATAGACGCTATAGTAAGCTAGAGTATAACGCGTAAACGTACTAGATAGTTAAAGATAATATAGATAAGTTAGATAGCTTATCTAGATTTATCTTAAGTAGCTTAGAGTTAGAATAATCTAAATAAGATAGTAGTATTTAGTAGAGGCTTAGTATTTTTAAAGCGTTTATTTATATAGAGCGTTTATTTATAAAGTATATTAATATAACTTTTAGTATATATATTAAAGTACTTTAACTATATAATACTAACTTTATTTATTATCTAGCTACTTTTAAAAATAGCTATAATCTAGTTACGTAGTAGCTAGCTACTCTTATACTATACTAAGAGGTAGTTCTTACTTATAATAATAAGAAATAGTAGAATTTATATATTATTTACTACTCTTACTATTATAATTACTAAAATCTACTTATAATTATCTAGTTAAAGACTCTTTAGTTATAATTATCTTTTAGAGCTAGTAACTACTATCTAAGGTAATATTATTTTTATTATAAAGCTAGATTTATTAAAATTATACGTATCTTTATTAGTAATACTATACTTTACCTTTATATTATCTACTAGATTAAACTACGTCTAAATAATTATAGAATCTTTTTACTTTACTTTCTAATAGTTATACTTATAATTAAGTTATATTTTAAGCTTAGAATAGTATATAATAAAGTTATTTAGCTAGTTCTTACTTATAATCTTTCTACTCTACTTAGTAAGTAGCTTATTAGCTATATCTTAAATAGTAGTAAGCTAAGAGGTAAATTCTTACGCGTTTAGGTTAAGTATATACTTAACTATTATCTACTCTTTATTCTTTATAAGCTTTATTAAATTAGGTATCTTTTTATATTATAAAGTAACTTTATTATATTAGTTATATAGTATTAATTAGTAGACTCTATATATAGCTATAGTACGCTATTTACTTTAAATTTAGCTAGTCTAAAAAGCGTAAAGAGTAAGCTATATTCTAGCTTTATAAAAGAATAATTCTATATAGATAGCTAAACTTATAGTAGTTAAGATAATTATTATAGAAGGTAATCTAGAGCTTAGTAGAATATAGCTCTAGAGCTTCTATATATATATAGAGCTTCTTTACTAATATATATCTTATCTACTTCTACTTCTAATATACCTCTACTAGCTTATTTTCTTTACTATAGTTATAAGCCTAGCGTTTATAAAGAGCTCTACGTAGAGTAATCTCTCTACGTATCTAGAGAAGCTATGCTAGAGCTTTTAGAAACTTTAATTCTCTATTCTTTCTCTTACTATAATTATAGTATTACTCTAAGTATTACTATTAATTAACGTAACGCTTGCGCGCTAGTAACTAACGATTTTTATAATTAATCTATATTAACTTACGCGTCTAATTAGCTTATAGTACTATTTATAATACTATAATACTAAGTAGCTTATAGTCTTAACACTTAATTAACGCTTATAGTAATAGCTTAGAGAGCTTAGGTAGAGAGAGAGACGCTTCTAACTCTAAGGCTCTAGAGAAGCTCTACGTAGCGCTATTTATAGATCTTAGTAGTAGTTTTATAATTATTTTATAATTATCTTATAACTCTTCTCTCTAAGAACCTTTCTAGATTAGAGTAGTAGATTAACTCTTTACGTATATAGTTAATCTTTCTAATACGCGTAGCTTACTAGAGCTATATACACCTCTTTAGAAGTATAGATTATAATCGCGATTAGCTTAGAGGTACGCTAACTAGTTAGAGAGCTTAATTAAACAGCCTCTAATATAACTAATAGTAACGCGTAATACTTAATTAGATATCTAAAGCGCTGCGTTATCTATTAATACTAGCTTAGCAGAGCTATATTACTTCTAAGAGAGCTTACTAAAGCTTATAGAGTATAATAAGTAAATTTAGAAGCTTATTTATAGAGCTTCTATTATAACTATTAGTAACGCGCGATACTTAATAATTATTAAGAAGTAGCGCGCTATCTATTAACTCTAGCTTAGTAGAGCTATATTACCTCTTTAGAAGCTTATTAAGCTTATAGAGTATAATATTAGAAGGTACGCTAAGAGAGCGCATAGAAGCTTAAGAAGCTTTAGCCTCTACCTTTTTCTATAATTCTTATAGTCTCTATACTATACGTAACGCTAAAGAAGTAAACCTATAAGAGATTAGAAGCTCTATTAGAGTATAGTAGCTATAAGTAGCTATAAGAAATACCTCTTAATCTATTAGAGTAACTCTTCTTAGTATAAGGCGCGTAAGCTTAGGTAAGCTTAGAGGTAGTAGAAGAGAGAATACGTTTAGAGTAGCGTAAATCTAGTAGGTTACTAGTTCTTTAAATAACCTCTCTTAGAGTAAAAGCTCTTAATAATAGTTTAAGAGCTCTTAAATAATAGAGCTTTTACTATACTAAATTCTCTATATAGCGCGTAGTAATTAATTAATAAGCATATTATATTTTTTTAATAATAGTTTAAAAGCTTAATTAATAGAGCTCTTACTATATAAATAACTCTATAGTATATAATTAGTAAGCGCGTTATATTTTTAGTAATAGCTTTAAAAGCTCTTAGAAGCTCTTACTAGCTAGAATAGAGAAGGCTCTTAGAAGTACTCTTAAGTAGAGAGCGTCTACCTCTAAGCTTAATAAGCTTTCTATATATAGTTTAGTAGAGAACTTATATCTCTATACGCTCTCTTTTAGGTACGCTTCTATTATTACGTATCTAGAGAGTATATTATAAGAAGTAATCTAGAGCTTAGTAGAATATAGCTCTAGAGCTTCTATATATATATATAGAGCTTCTTTACTAATATATACTTTATTTACTTCTACTTCTAATATACCTCTACTAGCTTATTTTCTCTACTATAATAATTTTTAGTAGAGGCTTAGTAAATATAGCTAACTTACTTATATAGCTAGCTTACTTATAAAGTATATTATATATATTTATTATAGTATATTATACCTTATACTAAGTTATACTAAGATATATTACGTAATTAAAAAGCTATAACGTACTTTATAAGTAAGCTAGCTATATAAGCAAGCTAGCTACTATCTCTTAGCAAGAAAAATTAATAAGAATTTACGAGTTTTTCTTAAATAACTAAGCGAAACCTTAATATTTTTCTATAAGATTTTAAATATAGATAGAACTATAGTATATACACCTACTATTAAAATTATACTAAGATATATTACGTAATTAAAAAGCTATACGTATTTAGGTAACTTTTAAAAAAAATCTAGTTTACTTCTAGTTAGTACTATTAAGTATCTATAACTTAATAAAGAGTTCTAGAAAACTTCTATAGTGCTAGCTCTTCTAGGTATAGCGTAATAAGAGATAGAAGTTTATAAAAGTTTTTCTAGAATTTTCTTCTCTAACTATATATATATATTAATAATCTAGCTATATAAAGTTATATATTATAAGCTAATATATATTATAAGCCTACTATATATTTAGAAGTAATAATTTTAAGATAGTTTTAGTATCTTTCTCTCTTTCTATACTATACTACTAAAAAGGCTTTACTTTTAAATAACTACTTAAAGCTAGTATATTATTAGTTAATAAGCTTTATATAGTTAAAGCCTACTATAATTTATAAAATAATAAGTTTATATAGCTAGATTAACTATATATATATAGTTAGAAGAAAAAGCTCTAAAAAAAATATTTTTCTAACTTCTATCTCTTATTACGCTATATCTAGAAGAGCTAGCTCTATTAAAGTTTTCTAGAAATCTTTATTAAGTTATAAATACTATATACTATAAGTTTTATAGATTATTATAGAGATATAGTAGTACTAACTAGAAGTAAACTAGATTTTTCTTAAAAGTTACCTAAATACGTAAGTTATAGCTTTTTAATTACGTAATATACTTTAGTATAACTTTAGTATAATATATAATATACTATAAAGAATATATATATATATTTTTATAGAAAAATATTAAGGTTTTACTTAGTTATTTAAGAAAAGCTTATTAATTTTTATTAATTTTTCTTGCTAAGAAATCGTGGGCGGTTTAGTAGTATAGGCGGTTCGCTAGTAGAGTACGTTATAGTATATTATAAAGAGCTATAGCGTACTATAAGCTTAGCTTTAGATTCTATTAAATAGTCTAGAGCGTAAGCTATATCTAGAATTTATCTAAAGTTAATTAGGTGTTTATAGAGGGCTTTATAATAGAGATAGTAGTATTTAGTAAGGGCTTGGCATTTTTAGGGCTTTCGCTTGTGGGGCTTTCGCTTGTGAAGTACGTTAGTGTCTTCTATCAACTCCCCGCCGCTTAATGCGCTCAACCTTAGGTCGTGCATCTGCCTACAGTTTTCGAATCTTTTGAGCGTCACACTACTGTCACTCGATCAATGCGACATTTTCGGACGGCTTTTTACTTATTTAACGCTCGGCGTCCACTCGCATCCCACCTAGATCAGCGTCGACGTGCTTCCACCCACGTTTACGCCCGCGTAGCGTCTCAGGTCTCGTTCGCCAACTCGACCAATACTATAATCCTAAGGCGCTGTACAGATACTCGGCCGCTCTGGGTGAGCTTTTGGGCTGGTCGACGCCTAGCTGCGAGGATGCAGTCAACACTCATTGGCAATTCTGGTCGTGAGTACAAACAAGTCCAAGTACTGCATTCCCGTCCCGAAAAGTCCGAGCTGGATATTTACCTCGCAACGTGAGTTTACCTATCGTCATTCCTTAGTGCTCATCAGAAACAATAGCTGAGAGTGAAAACTACTAGCTCGGACAACCAATTCTTCGTCCTGAAACCGGTCTCGCCGTCCGTCTTTGATCACTTACTCGAGTTCAACAAAGAGTTTGGCGATAACTCTCACCTGCGAACTCACGTCGACTACAACAACAAGGAGAATGTGGTTGTATACGAGGGTTTCACGACCGATGTGCTTTCGTTGGTGAAGAATTATCCACCTCTCCCACTCGAGGCACGAAAGACGATTCTTAGGGAGGTCGGGCGTGGCCTAAAGGACATGCATGCAAGGAACTGGATACACCTTGGTATGATTCCATTCATCAGGCCTTGTTTATTGTCGCCCTCAGCTCATTGTTAACTTATCATTCCAGATGTGAAGCCAGATAATGTCTTTGTCAATTGGCACATAGACAAACAGGGGCAATTCCACCTTGAAAAGGTAGCATTAGGTGATTTGGATGTCGCTTTGAAGCTAGAAGACGACAAGCTCTTTAATCACAGGATAGGAAACGTCATGTGGCGCAGCCCAGAAGGCCAACTGGGAAAGGGTGTGGGCAAGCATTCCGAGGTGTTTTCATTTGGACTCCTTGTGAGTTGAGTTTCAACGATGCTACAGCGGACGTACTAATTGAAATCCCAGTGCTTCTATGTCATCACGGGCGTGGAATGGCTCCACGCCGACTTTGCCACGCTAGAGGTTGAACCGGAGTCGGTGATTCTATTCAAGTTACTTTCGGCCTTTGGGCCTCTACCAGACGCGCTCGTGAAACACGTCAACGATGCCGAATCGGGGGAGCTCTTGAGAGCCCTGTGGCAAGCGATATCAAAGGACGAGACCAACGAAACGTTCGATAGCTGGTCGTCAGACACATTTCCCAACCTCGACAGCGAGGTAAAGAGGCTGATATTGAGGATGACGAACCTCGATCCTGAGAAAAGGGCATCGATGTCGGACATCATGGCCGATACCTACTGGAACTTGAAGGACATTGACTGAGGGAGTTTTCAGAGCGGACATCGCAACTAAGGACGGCGTTTGAGTCTAGTTCTAGATACCTATTGCCTCACCAACTTCTCGTGCAATCCTCCACCCTTTTCTCACAGCGAATGATGTACAGGGCTCGATCCCCATTTCGATCGTTCCATCCTTCCGAACGAACTGACGCAAGCTCTCCCCGCATCGATCTTCTTGCCCTCCAGCAATCCAAACCCATGAACTCAAACAGCTACATGTTCTGTCTTGATATGATTGCCCTTGTCGTCTTGCAAGATGGTGGTAAAATGAGTCCTACGGTCATTCTGGCTCTCATGCGGCTTCTCGCTATAATCCCAATCAGCTTTCACTCGGATACGACTCAACGGAGAAAGACTTACACCAGGATGGCAGTCGCGGTGTTGGAGGGGACATCGGTCTTCTCCATGGCGGCACTGAACTTGTCCTGCTCGCTCGTGGCAAGATAGGTACGCTGCCAGGCCTCGGTCGTGGTGGCATACCTGAGCGCAATATCCTTGCCCGACTTCTGGATCGTCTTGATCGCTGCGCTGGACACGACCTTGGTGGCTGGCATTGTGCTCGGGGTAGTAGAGATACGGATGAAGTTTTCCTCGGGATTTTGATTGAAAATCACTTGTGTCTGTAACTTTTGCATGAGCAACAAACATTCCCCCCATTTAAACCACCAGGTTCCAAAAGAGTCAGAACTGCGAAATTGATTAACCGCCTCAATTCAGCATGCAAGCGCCCACCTGGCGGCAACGAAAACAAGATACTAGAATGAATGGTACGCGTTTGCTAAATGATGCGCGGTTACGAGCGTTGTTGGCGGCTAGTCAAACAGGCCGTGAACATGGACAGACCAGTAAAGCTAGCTGTGTCGCCTTAATAACGCCGTTTATTAGCCCTGGTGCGCCGTGTTTGTGGCTGTCGGGCGACTATTAAGGTGCTTAACATGTAATTACGGTACGCTCTCGTGCGTCTAAGCCCGTTGCTACGCCTAAGAATACTAGCAAGAACTATTTATTATAAAACTTCTAAGGCTAGATAAACCTAATACTATAATTCTATTTCTCTTTTAAGCTAACGTACTTTATAAGCGAGCTAGCTACATAAGCAAGTTAGCTACTTTTGCTAAGCCTCTACTAAAAATTATCTTAACTACTATAAGTTTAGCTACCTATATAGAATTATTCTTCTATAAAGCTAGAATATAGCTTACTCTTTATACTCTTTAGACTAGCTAAATTTAAAGTAAATAACGCGCTATAGCTATATATAGAGTCTACTAATTAATACTATATAACTAATATAATAAAGTTACTCTATAATATAAAAAGATACCTAATTTAATAAAGCTTATAAAGAATAAAGAGTAGGTAATAGTTAAGTATATACTTAATCTAGACACGTAAAAATTTATCTCTTAGCTTACTACTATTTAAGATATAGCTAATAAGCTACTTACTAAGTAGAGTAGAAAGGTTATAGGTAAGAACTAGCTAAATAACTTTATTATATACTATTCTAAGCTTAAAATATAGCTTAATTATAAGTATAACTATTAGAGAGTAAAGTAAGAAAATTCTATAATTATTTAGATATAGTTTAACCTAGTAGATAATATAAAGGTAAAGTATAGTATTACTAATAAAGATATATATAATTTTAATAAATCTAGCTTTATAATAGAAATAATATTATCTTAGATAGTAGTTACTAGCTCTAAGAGATAATTATAACTAAAGAGTCTTTAACTAGATAATTATAAGTAGATTTTAGTAATTATAATAGTAAGAGTAGTAGGTAATATATAGGTTTTACTATTTCTTATTATTATAGATAAGAACTATCTCTTAGTATAGTATAAGAGTAGCTAGCTACTATATAACTAGGTTATAGCTATCTCTAAAAGTAGCTA